CCCGAGTTTCTTCATGCTGGCGTCGCAAATGCTTCGCCGGCGTCGCCACTGCATCGCCGATGCATCGCCGACGTCGCCAGTGCATAGCCGATGTATCGGCGATGCGGCGATTTCCTCCGACCCCATCTACTCCGACCCCATTCAGGAGGCCTCCAGCGTAAACGAATTTGCTTCGGGTCCCAGAGGACTCCGGACTCCACAAGGGGAGGGTGGGGGTCTGATTCAGCGGGGGGGTCTGATGGGAGCCGTCTTGGAGGATACTGTGGGGGCCCTGGCGGCCAGGTCGAGCAGGCGGGTTACTCAAGCGTGCGTCCTGCATGAATTGCGAGGAAGTCTCGAGCGACAGCTCGATTCCCAAATCAATCGTGAGGAAATCTACTGCGAGAGCGTGACGCCTGAATGTCGAGGACGCGACGTCTGAATAAATTGCGAGGAAGTCCCACGCGACAGGGCAAAAAGGCCGCCCCCTCATGGCTGGTCTGGGGGATGGAGGGAGGTGTCTGGAGGTGCTCGTCCGAGAGGTCTGCGACCCACCCACCCCCTACGTATGGAATTCGGAGTACAGTCGGGGCCCTGAAGAAGGAATCCTTTTCGTTGGGGAGGGGCTCCGTGTTCCTTGATAGTTTCGCGGCTTGCCTCAGGTTTTCCCTAGGTCTTCGGTACGAAATCGAAGTTTCACTTATGGGAAGATAGGGGCCTCGTTCCTTAATTCAGGGTTCCTTAGGTCAACGCCCCGACTGCATGCGTTGCGCGAGCGCTCGTAACAAGTGGCCGGCCTCGCGGGCTGGAGGGGGACATGCCCGACCTCAGGGTAGCACTGACCTTGGTCAGCCCGTCCCCGAAGCCTTCCCGGACCTCCAGCGGCAGGCGGAGTGTTGTTCGCAATGCTCTTTGCCCCCAGGGGCCGTCGAGAACCAGCCTGGGACGAGGAACGCCAGTCTCCGTTGAAACTTTCGAAGGCCAGGGGAGAGGCCCTGATCCTGCAACCCAGAGGCTTAAAGTATGAGTCGGGCGCGGGTGTTCGCGTGCGTGGCCGGGCGTGGTGTTCGCGTGCGTGGCCGGGCGCGTGCGCCTCTGGCGGGCCCCCCCTGCAGATGCACGTGGCGGGGTCGCGCCGGCGAGGCCCGCACGGCGCGCAGGAGCGCGTGGCCTCCCGGCCCCTTCCCTGTAGGAGGGCGGCGTGCTCTGCAGGGCGCGCGGCGCCGCGAGCCACACTCTGAGCAGAAGCTCGGGCCGGGCGAAAGGGGGGGATTGGGAAAGGGGAGGTTACAAAATTTGCTGCATGCAGCTGGTTTCGGCCCCACCGAGGGGCCCGTTCCTCGATACATGGCCGCCTCCCGGCGCCGGGAGGCGCCGGGAAAACCAGCTACGCGAGCTATTCTCAAACCCCCGCCTTTGCTTATCCCCCCCTTTCGCCCGACCCGAGAAGCGCGCGCACGGTGATGCTCCGTCCTTCATTCTGGGCAGTCGAGGGCCAGACTGTCAGATTGGATTGGGCCCCAAGGGCCAGTCCGGCCTGGCCAAGCTGGACGATTTGGGTGACTCGCCGGACTGGATTCGCGCTGGCTCCCTCGCCAGATTGCCCCCGTTTGCCAGATTGGGCCTGCCAGATTGGCGCCAGATTGGCTTCGACTACCCAGTCATTGTTTTGCAGATCGGCGCGGGGCCTCGCTCCCCCCGCCCCCCCCCCCCCGCCCCTCCCCCCGCCACACCACACCACTCCCCCCCCCCCCTCGCTCCCCCTCCTCCTCCTCCTCCTTCCTCTCCTCCTCCTCCTCTCCTCCTCCTCCTCCTCCTCTCAGCATCAGCATCATCATCACATCATCATCATCATCATCATCATCATCATCATCATCATTCATCATCATCATCATCATCATCATCGTCCGCCTCCTCCTCCTACTCCTCCCCTCCTCCTCCTCCTCCCCCTCCTCCTCCTCCTCCTCCTCCTCCTCCTCCTCCTCCTCCTCCTCCTCCTCCTCCTCCCCTCCCCCCCCCCCATGGAGTATACAGTCGGGGCCCTGAAGAAGGAACCCTTGTCGTTGGGGAGGGGCTCTGTGCTCCTTAAGTGTTTCGCAGCTTGCCTTGGATTTTCCGTCGGTTTTCGATGCGAAATCGAAGTTATAGAAAATAGGGGCCTCGTTCCTTATTTTGGGTTCCTTCGGTCAATGCCCCGACTGTATTTTGGCTGTTTTTGGCGCCGGTTTCGAGCAGGTGGAGTCTCCCCAAAAAGGACGCACTGCTGCAAGCAGTCGCACGAAGCAGAGGTCTGGAGCCAGACCACCCCCCTCCCCCCTCCTTCCGCCCAATGTCGAAACGCCGAGTGAGAAAATGTTCACCATGGCCCTCCGCAAGCTGTCCGCGATGCTCTCTGTGTGAGCGAAGGTGCCGCGAGATTTTGCAGACCGCTCGCGTCGTTGAGGTCGTCGGGATAAGGAGGACAGCCTCCTGCTTCCTGGAAGGAAGGTTTAAAGCATGTGTTTTGACTGCTTCGGTGGTCTTGGCAGGTTAGTGTCGCCACTGCTGGACGCGACTCGGAAAATACCCAGGAGTCGTCATTGTCTTCGTTGTCGTGTTCGTTCTTCGTCGCCTTCCTTGTCGGTCGTCGCTCGCAGCTCATGCCCCTCATCCTCGGTCGTCGCTCGTCGTCGCTCGTTGGTCGTCGTTGTTGTCTTTGCTGTCTGAGCTTTCGTCACTCATCATCACTAGCGGCCATCTTGCACTTAGGGATTATTACGTGGGTTATTGAAGAATTGAACGGATGTGTCTGGATTTCGGTTGGTGCCCGTTGACGCAGGGTAGTTGCCGCCCCGTTGCCGTTTCGTGCGTTGGGTTGTTGTGTCGGTGTTTCGTTTGGTGCCCGGTTGGTGCCGCCTCGTTGCCGCCTCGTGCGTTGGGTGGGTGCGTGTGGAGTTCGGTTGGTGCTCGGTTGGTGCCGCTTCGTTGCCGTCTTGTTGAATACTTGATCCGGAACTATTCCAAAATTGAGAACGTGGTAGCAGCGCGGCGAGTTTCCAGTGTGCATCATGTACCTATGTTTACCCATGATGACAGCTGCACATCTAGTACACTGCGGCGACGATGCGAACCATGGGCTTCACTACTACGGATCCAATTGCACAGACGTGAACAGCTTGGACACGACTGGGAGCAGCCACGCTATAACAATCGAGTGCCCCAAAGTTTCCCGACAACTGGCCAGATCCGACGAAAACGTGGCAAAGTGTTGGGAATGTGTTGACAGCCCATGTGGCAACGATGAACCTGCGCGGCCACGCGAAGAACCAGAGGCGCCGGCCTACACCGAGGGTGATGACAGCAGGCTATCTACGATCCACGAGGAGGGAGAGAATGTGCGTGTCATATCGCCTCCTAGCCAGATAATGTTTCAGAAGGATCTGATTTGCTGCGCCCCGCACCCCCCCGCGAGGCTCGAGAAAAAGGTTTCGGATATGAGATCGGATACCTCCCGCAGCTACCGCCGCCCATTTTGGGCTCTCGGATGGTAGCGGAGCGCTTCGGCGCTGCACGATCCACGGAATCAGTGACAACGTCAGCCAGGGCTGGCGAGAACGAGGGTTTCGAGCTGATCACAATCAGCAGCGGCGGAGAGAGAGACTACCAGTGCGACTGGAAGAGGATTACGATCCAGCTGATCTCGCTCGGCAAGATCAGAGGATATGGGGCAGAGCTCGGCAGGTGGCTATGTGCTATCAAGAAGCAGGGCCAGCTCGCGATTAAGGATATCGAGGATGGCAACGCCCGAGGAAATCGTCAGAAGGCTCGAGGCGCTCGAGCAGGCGAACATAGAGCTGGTGCAGGAGGCTCGACGCCAGCGGGATCGAACGGATCAACTGCACGAGGCAGCCGCTCGCGCCGCTGATGGCGGCGCGGCGGCAGGAGCTGCGGCGGGAGTGGCCGCTGCAGCAGGAACGGAGCTGGACACAATGCCATTCGACACGAAGATTACGAAGAACCCCGACAAGTTTGACGGTAAGCAGGAGTCCTTGTCAGACTGGTCTTTCTTGTGTCGCAGCTATGTGGCATCACAGGACGAGCGTACCACCGAATTGATGGACAGAAGTACGACCATGGACGAAGAAGTGGTCATGGGCAGATCTTTCAATGACGAGAAGGCCGGAGATGAGAAGCGCTCGAGGATGCTGTTCCATTACTTGCTGACGGTGAGTATGGCGATGAAGTCTCGTGGATTCAAGCTGATCAAGAACACGAAGAGCTCCAACGGTTTCGAGGCCTGGAGACAGCTGATCATGGAGTACGAACCCAGGGTCAGGGGACGACAGGGTGCGCTGCTCAACCAGTTGCTCAACACGACGTTCCAGGCTGGAGTTGGACACAGAGAAGCCATCGAGACATGGGAGCGCGAGGTCACCGAGTACGACCGAGGATATCCTGCCAGAATATCAAAGCGAACGCGCTGGTCCAAGGGCATGAAGGCGAAGTTCTGAAGTCGCACCTGACGTTGAACTAGAAAGGAGATCGTGGACTACATCGTGAATCGTCGCGTTTGTCATCGAGACAACGATCAGGTGGCGTCGATGGACGCGGACGCAGTTCGCGGCTGGTACGATAAAGGCGGCAAAGACTCCGAAGCCAAGGGCAAGAGTGCCAAAGGTAAAGTCAAAGACGACGAAGGCAAAGCCAAAGGTAAAGGTGAAGACGACAGAGAAAAGTCCAAGGCTGCGAAGAAAAACAAGTGGTGCGACTGGTGTAATATGGCCGGACACGTGACGGAGACGCGCAGGAGAAATAGGCGCTATGAACAGAGACAGGCGAGCCAGAACAGCAATACCAATGTAGTCGTTCCTCAGCAGCAACCAGCTCAACCTGGATGCGCGACGTCCACCATCGGCCCGAATGACTCGGCATCACTAGTGAACACGATTCCCATTAGCATGTTGGCGCAACACCACCTGGACACGGCAAGGGGACTGGCGCAGTCGACAGTCGGCCCATCATCGGCGATTTCAGGATCGGCGATGGCACTTCAACAGGTGAGAGGCACGCCAACCACCATTCAAGAAGAGCGCGCGTACCCGTGGCCCGACACAGACGACAAGGGACCCATCTACGCGAGCATGCTGCCAGCCGCAGGTGCGAGCATCTTCGAAGATGACGACGCGGACTACCTGATGATCGACAGCGGCGCAGGCATCACTACTTGTCCCATGGTGTTCGCAGAGGCTGAACCGCAGGGCAGTAGCAACTGGATTGCGCCGAAGAACTTGCCACCGCTTGAGGCCGCGACAGGGCAGTCGATCATCCACACAGGCGTGTGCGAGGTCAACGCCATTGCGACGGCGCTCGACCAGCAGCAGGAGATCTTCCAGATGAGGTTCCAGATCACGAACGTTAAGTGCCCGATCGTGGCGCAGCTGAATTTGCTGGAGGCAGGCTTCGTTCCCAAATACGGGTTGTACTCGAGCGTGCTGGAGGCGCCGAGCGGACGGATCTTCCCAGTGGCGCAGCAGGACCGCACCCGGTACATGAAGATGAAGCGCGTGGTCACAGCCAGCGGGCCAGCAGTCACGATCGCCCCACTACGACAGCCAGCTGTAGCTCAACCCATTCCAGTCTATCGGGATGGACGGCAGCCAGGACCAGCAGGAGGCGAGGCATCAGGAGTTAGCCCAGGAGGAGCAGCGAGCTCATCAGCCGCAGGAGCGGCACCTGCCGCAGCAGCAGCGGCAGCATCAGAACCTAGAGACGCTCAACCTGCCGACCACCTGGAGATCGTTCGCAAGCAGAGGGACGCCGTCGAACTGCGCGACAGCCCCGAGAGCAGGGCTGCGAGAGCGAAGGGTGTTCCAGCGATGCCACCGCTTGCCGAGCGTCAACTACATCGACTTACCCACTGGCCGCGTCGTTCGCGGTGAAAGGCTTGCGTAGCCGGAGGAGGACGCGAATAAGTTCATGCCAGGACGGACCAGGAGAGGGACACGCCCCAGGTCTGGTTCGACTACTCGTTCCCAGGAATGAAGGGCACCGATGATATGATGACGCTGCTGGTCTGCCTGGACTTCGAGTCGTCGGCTATCGAGAGTGCGAACGTCGTGGGGAAGGGCGCGGTGGATTACGGCATCAAGGTCCTGGTGCAGGCGGTGCAGCACTGGGGCCGCAAGCGCGCGGTGGCGTCGTGTGACCAGGAGAACGCGATCACGGCGCTTGCGAGAGTGGCAGCAGCCGCGCAAACGAGGAGACGGCGTTGCAGGTCGGCCCAAGGCTCGAGTCCAAGTCCAAGGGTCTGATCGAGGCGGCAGGAGGCAGAGTCCAGCCGCTCATTCGCACACTCGCGCACACCGCCAACGCACACTACAATGTGGAGCTGAAGCCAAGCGAGCCGATCAGCAGTTGGTTGGCCAGGCACGCAGGCTGGATCCTCACGAGGTTTACCGTTAGAGAAGATGGGCTGACACCGCATCGTCGGCTCAAAGGACGAGATTACCACGGTCAAATCGCAGAGTTCGCGGAGACCGCGATGCACAAGTTACCCCGAGGACCCGCTGGGAAGATGGGAGCCAGTTGGGACAAGGGCATCTGGCTCGGCAAGGTGAACGTCAGCGATGAGCACATGATCGGCGCACCACGGGGGCGGGCCTTTGCGAGATCGATCGCCAGGAGGCCCGACGAGAATCGGTGGAACAAGAACCTCTTCCGCCAGATCACCTGCACACCTGTCGACCCGAAGGCAACGCTGCCGGCGCAGGAGGCCGTGAACAGGCCGAGGTACCTGACCAAGGGGAGTCTCAACCGGTTGGGTCGGGCACTTGGCTGCCCAGCTTGCGACCAGACGGGCCAGCACCACACTACGGAGTGCACAGCCAGACTGGGGGCGTTGCTGGGCGCGGAGGACATTGCGAAGGGCCTGGCAGCACAGGCTGGAGCGCGAGCTGAGGCACCGCCACCAGCTCGGGAAGCGGTCAGGAAGCAGTCGAAGCGCGCACCAGCAGAGGAGCCAGGGCGCAGAGCAGCAGCAGCCGCGGCAGCAGCTTCAGCAGCAGCTCCCAGGAGGAAAGCGCTGAGATGATGGTGCAGGACCCCGCGGAGATTACCGAAGGAGTGAAGCGACAGGTCTCAGAGAAGGAAGAGAAGCCCGAGAGCAAGAAGGCGCGCGTAGTCGGCGGGCTGGCCGTCAACGCCACGTCAATGGAACTGCGCGCGGTGGACCTTGGCGAGTACGCCGCGGAACCGCACGAGGAGAAGGATCTTTCCAACGTCGAGGGCGCGCTCTCTGGACAGCTGCTTCCAGCAGAGAAGGTCCGAGAGGGAAGAGCTCGAGAGCGCGCCAAGATGAAAGGGCATGGAGCGTTCAAGCGGGCTCACGTCACGGAGGCGAATCGCAAGCGCGCGAGGGGAAAGTGGTTGCAGGACTGGAAGGTGGGCACTGACACTGCGCGGTGCACGTTCGTGGCCATGCAGGTTGCCTACCAGGCGCGCGACGACACATTCGCCCCCGCTGAAGTTCGCCAGGCTGGCACTGGTGCCGGCAGCGACGTTCAGGAGCCACATGAAAGTCTACCTGATAAGGCTTTGGGATATCAGCAACGCGTTCTTCCACTCTGAGATGGATGATGACGTGTGCGTGGTGCCGCCCTCAGGTGAGGAGGAGCCGAATGTAGTTTGGCAGTTGCGGAAGGCGCTGCATGGGACAAGGAGAGCGAGCAAGCTGTTCCAGCACAAGGTCATTGCGACGTTGACCGATCAGGGCTTCATCCGCATGTCGGCGACGGTGACGGTGTTTTACCACGTCCAGAAGGGCATCTACATCGTGGTGCACGGAGACGACTTCATGGCCGTGGGGACGCATGATGACCTGAGGTGGCTTAACAAGATCCTGGAGGCGAAGTTCGAGGTGAAGCGGTCGCCGTTCGCGGGCCCACAGAGGCTGGAGGTGGCGACGTCTGGCCATTTCCTGAAGAGGACGGCTAGCTGGACAGAGAAGGGTTTCCACTGGGAGAGCCCGGCTTCCAAGAGCATCGGGAAGGAGGTGCCAACGGCGTTGGACAAGCTGGGGCACGCGGAGAAGAAGCTGTTTCAGTCGGCGGCGCCGACGGCACTGCACCTGGCAGCAGACAGACCTGACATCCAGTTCGCGACGAGCTGGATCATGCGCGGGACGCAGGAGCCACTGGTGCTCCACGAGCTGAAGCTGAAGCGGTTGGCTGCCTACTTAGCGACGCACCCGCAGATGATGTGGAACTTTGAGTATCAGGAGTTACCGAGCGAGTTGACCATCGTGACGGACTCGGACTGGGCTGGAGATGAAGTGACGCGCAGGAGCCGCGGTGGAGGTTTCGAGTACGTCGGCAAGGCGCGCATCGACAGTTGGGCGGGTCAGCAGGCGACGCGTGCGCTGAGCAGTGGAGAAGCTGGGTACGCGGAGATGACTAACGGCGCTGCGCGGGGGATCTTCACGAAGAACCTGTTCGAGGAGATGGGCATCAAGATGACGGTGGCGGTGCGTGGCGACAGCACCGCCGCCATCGGGACATGTTCGAGGCTGGGTGTCGGACGAATCAGACACCTGGACGTGAAGCACCTGCGGTTGCAAGAGAAAGTGGCCGAGAAAGAAGTGCGCACCGCGAAGGTGCCGACGGCAGAGAACGCAGCGGATCTGATAACGGAGGCTCTGGATCCCGCTCGTCATCACGAGCTTGTGAAGAGGCTGCCCATGACCTAGGAAATCGCGAGGGGCTTACCAAGGCATGGGCACAGTGAGGTTGTAGCAGCTGTGCGTTTCACAGTGATTGCTATGCTTCGTTGGTTTCCACGCGCAGAGCGTAGCCGCGAATCGTGAAGCTCGAAGCCGCGAAGAGAACAGAGTTCCTGCTTATTGAAACCAACTTGTTAGGGCCAGCCGTCGGGACGCCGACCATAGCCCGCAGCAGGTTGCATGATAATCGAGATATAATACCGCGTGGGCCGGAGCGCGATGTCGCATTTCCGTCAGTCGTCGGTTGGCGACATCTGCCGAGGAGGAGTGCGTGTCAGATCGTCTCCTAGCCTGATAATGATTCAGAAGGATATGATGTGCTGCGCCCCGCAGCCCCTTGCGAGGCTCGAGAAAAAGGTTTCGGTTATAAGATCGGATACCTCCCGCAGCTACCGCAGCCCAGTTTGGGCCCCCGGAGAATGGGCTGACGCCGGCGCTCACATCACGCAGGAGCGGCATCGGGGGTGGACAGAACCCCCAACACGGACACTTCGATTAGTGGCTTGTCCGTTTTCGGTTCTCGAGAGGGCGCCGCGGCCGTTATTTTCCAGGCTTGCGCCCGCCAGGTTTGGGCCTCAGGTCGTTTTCATTTAACCACGTTTCATCGAGGGGAGGTTTGTCCATCCCCGATAGTACGATGAGTTGGGCACAGAATTGGTACCTACGGTTGACTACGATGAGCTCTACACAGTACCAACGTACACAACTCCTATCCAGTGCACACATGTGATGGTTGCGACCGAAGAGAAGGCAAACGTGCCAGAAGAGCGCAGGGAAATATGCAACATCCAATGTGCGGTTGCGCCCAGTGGCACATTCTGAACGAAGACCAGCATGACAAGAACATCGAGTTGCGTTTTACGTCAGAAATGGTAAAGGTCGTGCTGACAGAACAACGACACGAAGCGCTGGAATATTCTGATGTTGGTCTATGCGCGTCTATGTGTCGGCTGGTGCCAATCGGGCACTAGCAGACAGAGAGGACGACATCCTGGCGAAAGCATTTAGCCGGTCCAACCCAGAGAAGGTCTCCAGAGTCACGGCGGACCAAATTCAAGACACGGTTGGACACTAGTTGCTTTAAGATGCAAGAGTTAATTATGGCCACATATTGTTTTAATTCACATTATATATGAAAGTAGACACTCGTCAAACACGAGAAGACTGCAGCGATGGACAGGACCATCAGACCAGGATTGGTATACGATTGGTGTTTCGGGCTTTCACACTAGAGGTTTTCGGTATCAAAACATCTTCAGAGACAGCAAGACGTTCCAGTCAACGATTGTTGGCCTAGGAGGCGACTTGCCACGGCCACTGGATCATCGTATCCATGGACGTTTAAAACACCTTTCTTCAACGGGGCCCACGTACTGCGAGAATGCACAGGCGACAGCTGGAAAGGAGCGCACGGCACGGTTCGCCTTGCCTCCTGGCAGCGCGGCAGTCCTTAGGACACTGCTTGCGCTTCAGAACTACAGCGAGAGTCGTCACTGCCCACAAGGTTTCGACTTGTGTACAGAGACGGAAGATACACCAAGAGTATTATTTGTGAAATAATTCACATGCACGCGGTCGTTCGGACCCCAGCCGATGGGTCACGATGAGGAGTTGGAGATTCCCCAAGTTCCCCCAACGCCGATGGACAAAAGAACACGTACACCAACTGTGCGGCACGCTATACCAGGACCAGCAGCGGCGAAGTCAAATCTGGACACGGACGAACAAGTGCGTCCCATACAACACCACGAGATCATTGGAACAGCTCCTGAAGTCCCAGCGCTGACGATCGTTACTGCGATGTTCGTCAGCCTCAGGGAATCACTGGCGCATTCTCTACTCACGCATATCTACTTACACATGTACGATTCGTGGCACACGTCGTTGCATGACAGCGAACCCAAGAAAGAACCAACGTACTCAGACGATTGATTGCAGTTACGCGGAACCCCTTGGGCGAATTCAAGAATATCTTCTTTTTCCCAACCATATTGTGGTGTTGGGCCTTCGTTTTTGAAGAGACGGTCCCCGCGTTTTTCCCCTCCTCCCCTCCTCCACATCTATTCAGTATGAATACTACTTTCCCTCGAGTTGGGTTTCCGCCTGCATTTTTTCACAAAATGCTGCTCTCGCTGAGGCGCCGGCCTCATTTTCGGGCCCCGCTCGTTCCGAATCGTGCTCCCGCTGCAGCGCTGGCCTCATATTTCCGCCGGCGCCTGGGCTGCACGCCCGAGCCGGCGCTCGGGCCAGCGCTCGGGCAGCCGGGTCCAGAGCCGGTTCCGGCCGCCTCCGGAAAATGGAGTTCCGAGGCGGCGCCGAAAAAAGGCCATTCTAATACACATTTTTTTTATTGAAAATGCTAGATTTTTGTTTCCGGCTCCCGAGCCGATTCCGACGCCCGGGCCGGCGCCCGAGCCGGCGCCCGGGCCACGCCCGAGCCGGCGCCCGGGCCAGCGCCCGGGCAGGGTCCGGAGCCGGTTCCGGCGCCGGCACCGGAAAATCGAGTTCCGAGGCGGCGCCGAAGAAAAGCCATTCCAATACACATTTTTACCTAACAGCGAAGACTGACAGGTTTTTTGTAGGGTCAAACGAGAATGACGCCCCAGGCGGGTCTGGGCGCAATCCGGGGAGATGCCGGATGCCGGGGATTTGTTTTTAACCAACAGTTACACATTTCGTGGTCTTCGAGGTCCCAGAACCCCACTCCCGGGCCACATTCTGAAGGCCCAGAGCCAACTGTAGGCCACTTCATGGTCTTCCAGCTCCCAGAACTCCACTCCTGGGCATGATTTTGAATGCCCGGAGCCAACTGTAGGCCACTTCGTGTTCTTCGAGTTCCCAGAACTCCATTCCTGGGCATGATTTTGAATGCCCGGAGCCAACTGTAGGCCACTTCGTGGTCTTCGAGTTCCCAGAACTCCACTCCTGGGCATGATTTTGAATGCCCGGAGCCAACTGTAGGCCACTTCGTGTTCTTCTAGTTCCCAGAACTCCATTCCTGGGCCACATTTTGAATGCTGAGGCAGGCTGATGCTGCGGCCGAGGCAGGCTGAGGCTGAGGCAGGATGAGGCCGAGGCCGAGGCTGAAGGCAGACTGAGGCTGAGGCTGAAGCAGACTGAGGCTGAGGCTGAGGCAGGCTGAGGCTGAGGCTGAGGCTGAGGCAGGCTGAGGCTAAGGCTGAGGCAGGCTGATGCTGAGGCAGGCTGAGGCTGAGGCTGAGGCAGGCCTGAGAGCTGAGGCTGAGGCAAGGCTGAGCTGAGGCAAGGCTTAGGTGAAGGCTGAGGCCTGATGCTGGCAGAGGCAAGGCAGAGGCCGCAGGCCCCGAGGCTGAAGGCAGATTGAGCTGAGGCCTGAAGCAGCCTGATGCTGAGCAGAGGCAGTCTGAGGCAAGGTCCTGATGCTGAGGGCAGGCTGAGGCTGAGGCTGAGGCTGATGCAGGCTGAGGCAGAGCAGCCTGCGGGCAGAGGCCGAGCTGAAGGCAGACTGAGCTGAGCTGAAGCAGGCTGAGGCCTGGATGCTGAGGCTGACAGGCCTGAGGCTGAGGCTGAGGCAGGCTGATGCTGATGCTTGAGCAGAGCAGGCTGAGGCTGAGGCTGAGGCAGTCTGAGGCTGAGTCAGAAGCGGGCTCCGTCTGAGGCAGGCTGAGGCTGAGGCTGAGGCTGATGCAGGCTGAGGCTGCGTCATGCAGAGGCGCAGACGCCTGGAGGCCGAGGCTGCAGGCTGAGGCTGAGGCTGAGGCAGGCTGAGGCTGAGGCTGAGGCAGGCTGATGCTGAGGCGCTGAGGCAGGCTGAGGCTGAGGCTGAGGCTGATGCAGGCTGAGGCTGAGGCAGGCTGAGGCTGAGGCCGAGGCTGAAGGCAGACTGAAGCTGAGGCTGAAGCAGGCTGAGGCAGAGGCTGAGGCAGGCTGAGGCTGAGGCTGAGGCAGGCTGATGCTGAGGCAGGCTGAGGCTGAGGCCGAGGCTGAAGGCAGGATGGAGGCGAGCTGCAGCAGGGCTGAAGTGAGCTGAGGCATGCAGGCTGAGGCAGAGGCTGAGCTGAGGGCTGAGCTGATGCAGGGTGAGGGCTGAGCAGGCTGAGGCCGAGGCCGAGGCTGAAGGCAGACTGATGTTTGAAGGTTGAGGCAGGCTGAGGCTGAGGCAGGCTGAGGCTGAGGCAGGCTGAGGCTGAGGCAGGCTGAGGCTGAGGCTGAGGCTGTGACTGCGTCTGCCGTTGCCACTGCGACTGCCATCGCGAGTGCGACTACGACTGCGAGAACAGCAGAATTCTACAACAGGATTCTCATCTGAATTTTAAGGGGAATGCTTCCAGATATGCACCATACACATCGCTGTTAGGTTGCTTTTGTGCCGGATATTCTTTTGAAAATGCTAAATTTCTGTTTCTGGCGCCCGGGAAGCCTCCCGGGCCGATTCCGACGCCCGAGCTGGCGCCCGAGCCGGCGCCCGGGCCAGACGCCCGAGCCGGCGCCTGGGCTGGCGCTCGGGCCCGGTCCGGAGCCGGTTTTTCCGGCGCCGGATGCCCGGAAAATCGAGTTCCCCGAGGCGGCCGAAAAAAGGCCATTCCAATACACATTTGTTCTTTTGAAAATGCTGAAGTTTCTGCTTCTGGCGCCCGGGAAAGCCGTCCGGGCCGATTCTGGCGTGCTTCCGCTCGTTCCGAATCGTGCTCCCGCTGCAGCGCTGGCCTCATTTCCGCGCTTCCGCTCGTTTCGACTCGCTGCAGCGCTGGCGTCATTTCCCGCGCCATGCCGCGGCATGCAATGCAACGCTAGGTTTATAATACGCTTCGCGGCGCTCGTCTACGCCATGCCACGCCGTGCTCTACAATGCATCGCGCACCCTTTCGGGACCATTGCCACGCTCGACATCCGACTGCACGAGTAGAGAGGGGATCTGCGCCATGGCAAGGGATGGGAGGGAGGGGTAGGATGTCAGATATGACGCGAGCGCGCCTAGCTTGCCCTCG